CGGGCCTGGGCGAAATTGCGTGTTTAGTTCCTCTTTCGCCTCGACTAATTAAAGATGCTGTCTCTTGTATCACCGAAAAACGACAAAATTAGAAATTACTATACTCTCAGGAATGAGATTTCAGCTTTAAGCTGAATTTTTTACGCACGTTGGCTAAAAAACTCCAACCTTTCGACTCTCAGGAAAGAGAGATTTTGTTCCCTTTTCTCATTGATTATTTTTGTTTCTGAATCCGATTTTTTTTATACCTACATTTAAAAACATTGCAAAAGGACTACGTGCAAAACGGGCCATTTGGGGCTCGGGGCGGATACCTTTAAGACTTGCTCTATTCATTCACCTAACAATGCCCCATCTTTTCCCAAAGTTTCAAGCCCCCCAAAAATTTTGGGGAGACGCGGCGGGGGGTCAAAGTTCAAAACCGGCAAAATTTTCGCGAATTTATTACTCGAAAACCAAGAAGTTTTCGTAAACGCGGTTTAAACGAGCGTATTCAGCGTGACGAGAGCTTTCAGAAAATGTGTAACATCATAGGGTTTCGTCAACTTCAGCTCGAGTTATCGCCTCCGAAGCGCCGGAACGCTCAAAAGAGACCCCTTATTTTTTCACGTTTGGGCCGATTTAAAAAAAAGCCATTTTTTTAATTTCATGAAAAACTGATATGTTGTTCCTGACTCTCTGTAGCCCCTCTAGCTTTTTACCGCATGCTGGGGAAATGTTTTGGTCGCGAGTTATAAGAGCGGAAAGGAGCGAAGGTCGGGAAAATCGGCTATTTTAAACTGCGCGCGGCGACGGATCAGGAGCCATGTGGCAACTATGCGAGGTCGGCAGAGGAGTGTGATTCACCGAAATGAGTGGGAGGGGACGTTTTCCCTCCGATCAACGCCGCGCGCGCAGTTTAAAATAGCCAATTTTCCCGACCTTCGCTCCTTTCCGCTCTTATAACTCGCGACCAAAACATTTCCCCAGCATGCGGTAAAGAGCTAGAGGGGCTACAGAGAGTCAGGAACAACATATCAGTTTTTCATGAAATTAAAAAAATGGCTTTTTTTTAAATCGGCCCTGACGTGAAAAAATAAGGGGTCTCTTTTGAGCGTTCCGGCGCTTCGGAGGCGATAACTCGAGCTGAAGTTGACGAAACCCTATGATGTTATACATTTTCTGAAAGCTCTCGTCACGCTGAATACGCTCGTTTAAACCGCGTTTACGAAAACTTCTTGGTTTTCGAGTAATAAATTCGCGAAAATTTTGCCGGTTTTGAACTTTGACCCCCCGCCGCGTCTCCCCAAAATTTTTGGGGGGCTTGAAACTTTGGGAAAAGATGGGGCATTGTTAGGTGAATGAATAGGGCAAGTCTCAAAGGTATCCGCCCCGAGCCCCAAATGACCCGTTTTGCACGTAGTCCTTTGCCGCCATGGGCCGTGGCCCATATGGCCACCCCCTTAATCCGGCCCTCTGCTTGTTTACAACAGATAACATAAATGATATTCGATTTATTAATTCTAAAGATATAATTTCGACTTCAGTATTGTTCTCACATACAATAAGTAGAGAGACATTTGACGGTAGTCGCCGGGGCGTTTTAAAGTTGGCGGATAAGTTGAGCGATTTGAACCGCGTATTTCTGGGTTATTGAGTTACTTTTTCGCGTTTTCAATGTGCGTATCGTGTTCTACGCGTCATTGAACTTTGAATAAATGAATTCGCAAGTCAAAATTCGTTCACAGTAAATAGCGACCCATTAGCAAAAGTAAAAAATTACTCGTCAGTATATCTGTTAGCCAAAATTGCCTGCATCGCACATTAGTTGATGGGGCTATAGCGTTCTTTGTAACACACTGTGAATGACGTCATCTCCAATGTCAATGAATATTAACCTGGTTTTCTCTTCCTTAATTAAAAATGGATAAACGTGAAGTGATTTACTGCAGGAGTGTGCATCGCTATTCAATAGCCAGGGTGAAACGAGTGACGCGTAGGTGGAGAACATTCCTCGGGAGTAGACTGCCGTGCTAAGGAAAAACGCCGTATGAGGCTTCAGGCGTTGCCAAATTGCCTCTGGTAAATCACCAATTTTCAGGAAATTTTTTTAATATGTTTCCGCCACTTTCTCGGGAAATTTTGTTTGTAATTTGAAGTAATGTGTCTGAAAATTTCAAGGAAAAATATTCATAATTTTCCTCAAAAATAAACATTTTACAGAATGAAATTTGGTAACTCTCGAATGCTCATGCGGCGTTCTTCCTTAGCACGACAGTAGAGTACTTGCGAGCAGGAATTAAAGGTGGAAAACAGAAAATTTGACACCTCGCAACATGATTATAATGTAGGGCCGGGAGAAATTTTAAGACACCTCAACCGCAAGCCGGATTTACCTACTCTGCCGTGATAGCGAAGAGAGCCGTGGGTGTAAAATTTTCGAAATCGAGTTTTCTTCAAAATTCGTCTAAACTCTTTTAGATGAAATTAGTGAGACAGCTAAAACAGCAAAATTCATTCTAATTTAATGAAAACGAGACGTATGAAAAAGCCGTAAGTGCACAAAAACTGACATAGTTTTTTTCAAGACAGCCGTAGATGCATGAGAGCCAATGAAAACAGTGCTTTCCAGTGAAGTGCCGCCCTCTTCTGCCAATCTCTAACCTGAAAATGTGTTTGTTGTGCGTCCAAAACGCAACCACGAAAGCATGCAGTAGATAGCACTTACTTACGGCTGTCTTGCCTAACAATAACCTAGCATGAAAATGAAAAATACCCTTAACTTTTAAGTAATGGAAATAAAATCAGTCGATTTTTAATCATCCATACGATTTCTAAGAGTCTCCCGGACGATTAGTGGCAATTTGACAAAGAACGAAGGCTTCTTTCAATAAAATGTTCTTGTCAGAAGCTTCTGAGCCCGTTTTTTCAAAACTTCATTTTTTGCACTTACGGCTCTCTTCGCTATCACGGCAGTATACTTGCCGCCCATGGGCCGCCTGTATTTTGCTGCCCCCCCATTCATTTGTTTTGACACATCAATAAAAAACCATCACGTGAACGTGCAGCAGGGAGGGGTGCATAAGACGCGTTTACTCGTGTTGGACACACTTTTTGCGAAGCCCTGTAAACATTACTAGAAAAAGTTCACGGAACTTTGCGCGAAAGTTAAGTTCCGTAAACCTATCTGTGTGTGGACAAGGCCTTCCATTTATAAGAAATGAACGAAAAAAGTATGAAAGAACAAACTGACCGCACTGTGTTTGATGACGCAATGCGTGAGGCATTTCTGCAGTCTTGTAGGCGCTATGCGTTTCACACCGACTGTTGCTAAACGCATTGTGTTTGACGCAATGCGTGAAGTATTCATGCGGTCTTGTAGGCGCTAATATGTGTTACATGCCGACCGCCGCGTCGAGGGCTTCTCCTTTTCATCTCAAGTCCTCGTCATCATTGCTCTCTGCGCCGCGCCGTTCCAGGCCAAATTGCATGTTTAATTTCTCTCTTTACTCGACTAATTGAAGGTGATGTCTCTTAGGCCTTGTCTCCACGGGATGTTTCACGGGATTTGTCCGTGGGAAAAATCCCATGTACGAAGTTGGGAAAAATATTGAGTTAATCAATATTTTTCCCGGTACCAAGCTTGGTGCTTGTACCCCAAGGACCCACTGAGAGAGGAAGAAGTGAAAACGAATTGTGCGATATTTTGTTGATTACTCCATTGTTCATGTTTGTTTCGTTAAAATAATGTGCCTAATTGTTGATTGAGTGTAATTATTATTTTAATCCCAGTTAAATACTCGACTTTAACTAATTTATCTTCCCGCGCAGACTAGTCGCAGGACTGTATGAGCCCTTGAGCCCCGCCCCGTGGAGACGGTAACTGAGAAAAATCCCGGAAGTTTCATTCTTGCGATTCAAACTTGAGACAAATCCCATGGAAACGTCCCGTGGAGACAAGGCCTTCTATTACCGAAATACGACAAAATTAGTATTTACTATACTCTCAAGAAGTGAAGATTTTTTTCGCCTCTCCTCGTTTGTAATTTTATTTCTGAATCCGATATTTTTTTATACCTACATTTAAACAAATTGCAAAATTTGCCGCCATGGGCCGCGGCCTATGTGGCCACCCCCAAATCCAGCCCTGGAGCTTAGTATAACCAATCATCAGTGGCAATGAAACAATCAAAATTACAAAATTGCGTAAGTACCCACTTCAATAAGTTGTAATTCGTCACCTTCCGGCCAAAGCATCAAAAGCGCTATGGGACGTTTAAAAATTTCCGCCGCCATTTTATTTTTTTACAGAAAAATTGTTCAACGGAGCGTCCAAAAATTTCACTGAATTTTCTTTGGGCTGCCCCTAAAATTCAATGAAATTTTCAAACAGATTCAACCAACAATTTCTCTGTAAAAAAAAAAACAAAATGGCGGCGATAATTTTAAAACCTCGCATAGCGCTTTTAATACTTAGGCCGGAATGGTGACGAATTATTGTTTTTTCAACTGTCATCGTTTAAGAACGGTAACTCAACGTAGGTATTCAAAATCAGACCCCTCGACCATTATACAAATAGTTACTAGGGCTGATGTAATATTTCCGAGCTATCTGATATGAGCATCGAACACCAAACCACGCATGGTTCTAAAACTATTCCATCTTTTCCAAAGGCTTTGAATTACATTATTGTAAAGTTCGTGTTTCGATAAATAGGTTTGTTTACTCTATCAAAAGACGGAAATTGCAAATGATAAAAAAAAGAGAAAAAGTATGCTAATGCAACATGACGTATCGTAAAAAACCACGCGATTTTCAAAGTAAGCATTGTATTTTTCAACTATAATTTTCTTGCGAAACTGTGATGGCATATTGCGGGCAAGGCAATCGATACCTCTCCGTCTTTTCAAAAAATGCCGCTAAGACAGAATTGTATTTGCCCTAGCGCTCTCGTGTGGTGAAACGGTGAAACTCTCGTTTACGTTTGTTTACGCTCAGAATTAGGTTAGGTCATGAAAGAAAAAGATAAAGACGTTAGGAATGTTAGGTTCATGGATCAGTTAGGATAGGTAATTTTTGTGAAGATTTTATCTTCTAGTGTTTATTTTCCAGCCCAACCACTAATTCCAAAGTTGTCAACTTATTCACCGAGCTTCATTGGAGTTTTTATCAGTTAACTTTCCCGAAATTTATATCACTCACCATGGATTTGGATGTGTATGGCATATTGGAGGTGCTGCAATCCGCTACAACTCAAGAGGTCAGAAAATAATACGTTCATTTGTTACACTTTCCCGGCAGTAAGAATGCAGTTGAAATGGCAATTAAAACATGTTGGGTAGTCATATCTTTTAATAGAAGGTGATTCTGTTGTAAGGTTCTTACACCTATAGTTCAGCTCTCAGTTACGGATGTGAGAAAAAGCGCATGCTATACAAAGATTTTTATTTTTAACCATTTTTAAGTATTCTGTCGGCTAATCCCATGCTTATTACCCCAGCCCTAGGTAACCATTGCCTGAGACCATCAAACTACGGTCACCTGCAGTGTTACCGTTCTGCGTACGCAACCCGACGGCAAATTACGCAACATTACGCAGAAAAATTTCCCAATTACGCACGCCATTACGCAGGAAAAATTGTCAAAATACGCATAAATTACGCAAAAATTTTCAAATTACGCAGCAATTACGCGTTTTAAGCCAAATTGTTAACAATCTTTCGCTTATTTTGAAATTCTGAAATATTTTTGTTTCCTATGTACGGTGGGAATTTAGTAGCAAAGTTTGCAGCATTGCTTTTTAGGTAAAAAACTATCTTTACTACGACCGTTTACCTTGATCGGCATGATGTACCTAACCTAAAAACCGCGATAAGAAACTGAAATTTTTAAAAAACTTCAATTACGCACGAATTACGCCGAATTACGCAGAAATCTTCCAATTACGCAGCATTACGCATTACGCAGCCACTACGCAGCGACCCTCCAATTACGCAAAAAAAGCCCTCAATTACGCAGAACGGTAACACTGGTCACCTGGCCCAGAATCAAACCCAAGACCTCTTAGTGGGAGGGCCAGGGCTACAACCACTACACCCTAGGAGGCCGACCAAGATTCACAAAATCTTTAGTCATTTTGATGGAGAACTCCTTTTATTAGTTGCTCTTTAGTGTCACTAGTGGCTTTTTAAACTGCGGATGTATCTCCTCACTAGTCTGTTCATTTTTCCTTCATCCCTTAACTTACCACTTTTCTTTCCCTTTCATTTGAATTTCCCTGGAAGTTCAAAGCATTGGAAGGACGTAATTTTAATTTAAACTCGCTCTAGAAATAAAACCTCCGGTAAACATTTTTTATTTTCAAATACTTCAAGATGATTTCACTGTATCCATTTTTCACCAACCCCTTCAGTAGTTTGAAGAAATGCTGAGGCACACAGTTACCTATATTATTTCTTCTCTCTTTTCCTTTGCTCACTTGTATTTTTTTTTTTTTTTACAGATAAAGAAAGCATATCGCAAGAAGGCTCTGAAATGTCATCCTGATAAGAATCCTGACAATCCTGAGGCTGCGAAACTTTTTCATAACTTGTCAAAGGCTCTAGAGCTCTTGTTAGATGAATCAGCTCGGGTAAGTCTTTTTGTATGCTATTTTACATATATATTCTTTACTTTCATGTTTTGTTAAAGATATCTTTCTATTACTAGAATCATAGACCACCAGAAAATCTACAGTTTTAAAATATCAACTCAGCCTTGTTTACCGCATTAAATCTTTCCCCAGTTTCCCTAGTGGTATTCTTTGGGTTTAGTGATATGGCAAGCTGTAGCGAACGCCATCTGAGGAGGAGTCTACAGTAGCTCCCTCCCCATGAAAACTTTGTGGAATATTGTTATGCTTAAATCTACTGCAATATTTTTTTATTCAATTTCAGGGAAAAAATCTTATGAAATGGTCAGATAAAATATGGTCTTATTCCTTGCTCTGTCACGTTTTTATTTTTGATCATCAGAGGAGGGGCTGCTTAACTGTGTCTCCCAATTTCCCACTTTTCAAGGGTATTGACTTAGAAGTCCCAGTCCTGGAGCATTACTTGTGTTTTGAATCATAGAAGTTTCCAAAAGTACCACCTCTTGGCATTTAAATCAGGATTGAGACTGCATCTTTCAGAACCATGTAGATCCATGTCATTGAATTTGAAGTAATCTCAGCCTCAGTGGAGAGAGGAAATGAGAGAGTAGTACGGTGCAATCAGGAGCCAAGAGAAGCGAGCTGCATTCAAGCGGTGTGTCACTTTGACTCCGTGCGAACTGCCCCTCTGAAAACTCAAGGCGAGCAGTGCTTGTTTTCCCTACCAGGACCACACGCCACTGAGTTTCATCAAGATAGGTATCCGTAGACTGGTTTCCCATTTCTCCTTGGACAACATTCAGGTCAAAAGTATAATTTTTTTCTGCTAAATAATTTCAGGCTGCATATGACAGAGTGTTGAATGCAAAAGCTGCCGCGAAACTGCGCACCCAAGAGCTTGATTCTAAAAGAAAGAAATTAAAAGAAGACCTAGAAGCGCGTGAAAAAGAAGCCAATCTCAAAGCAAGTGGATACAAAGCGTATGATCTAAGAACAGATGAAGAAAAACTCCAGGTTTGGATTTCCTAGTTTCCTAGTACTGTATTTTAAAAAAATATAGGATATGATTCTTAATGTCTCTGCAAAATGACTTGCATCATGAAGAGTGGACAAAACGAGTTTAAACGTGCTTGAAATGTCTCTATGAGATGGCAGACCCTTTTTTGATTTTCAGAAATACATAGTAAATATTGAAATAAACTGTACTTCTTCTGTTTTTGCTTCTATGAACCATGAGCATTGATAGAAAAACCTCTTAAGAAAAATATTTGGGAGGAATTCGAATGCAGTAATTTCAGTGCCCCCATTTCTTCTTCTTCTCTTTTTGCTGGCCCTTTAAATCATAACAAAAAATATCCTGCAAAAAGTCTTACAAAAATTTCAAAGTAATCTTATCATGTAAACTTCTAAATCATGCTGTAATTTTTAGTCTTTCTCTGTACCAAAGAATTATATGAATGGAAGACTATCATTTTCAATTTCATCTCTTTCACAGGCTGAAATCAAACGTTTACAAGAAGAGGGATCAAAACAGTTGGCTGAAGAAATAGCGTTTGTTCAGAAGCAAGTGGAGTTAGAAACTGCCAATAGAGCAACTGAGTATAATGAAAACCCAGCTAGATATCGCCTAAAAGTCAAGTGGCATGTTGACAAACATGATTCTGAAAATGGTGGCTACGATTACGAGAAGTTATTGAAAATTTTCTCAAAGGTAAGGCTGACTTTTTGAGAAACCTTCTAGGTACAACCAGTCGTCACAGTGACAAGTGACTTTTATTCTCTGAATATTTTATGAAAGACTCTTATCATTAAAATTGAAGCTTATATAATGCTGACAACTGTTTCTCATATAATTTTGTGTAAAAGCATACAAATTTCAAAAGAACAAGTGTGTGTGAGATATGATATGTCTATTGCAATGGACCTTCAGACAGGGTATGAATTTAAGCATTCTGATGTAAGTTCCTCTTTAAAATTTCTTGTAAAACATGATTCAAGCGAATAAAATAACTAGTATTAAATCCAAACCGACATATTAACGTTTTTATTCAGCATTGGTCACGAAAAATTTTAATTTCCAGCCGGTAAGAAACAGGAGTCGATTCAAATCCAAAAATCAAATTGCGCACTACAATGGTTTTAGCAAGCTTCTCAATCAAGAAGTGCCTCTTCCTCAAAACGTGTTTTTCAAAAAGTAAATAATGTGCAATAGCTAAGCTGATGCGCCGAGATTGAGGTTGTAGTATTTTCGTACTGCAAAGACTGTCATCATAATGTTTAGTGTGCTATTTTACTTAAGTAGATTATTGTTGTTTCTATGAGCAGGAAGTCTAAATCTATGCATTGAAAAATTTTAATATCTTTCTAATAATATACTCTCAGTAATATTCTTTGTCCAAATCGTGTTGTATGTGAAACTTTGATGTAAAAACATGTACATATTATAATGCTTTAATTTGCACCTTGTCTAGTGGTCCATTCAGCAACGCAGGTTGGCAATGCTCTCTCCTGCATGTGTCGCTAAGTCTTTGGTTTGCTGGCTTTTGATAGCTCCATTGAGAAATCTTTTATACTTTTTTTTTTCGTTTTTAAAAGTTGTGAACTTCCATCATTGTGCTTGAGTTATTCTTCTTTCGCCCTTTCTTGTACAAGTTGCTTATACCAGCGGCGTGGTGTGCTTTACGATTTATCAATGGGCCTGTTGCAAACTTTTGCTAGAGCAAAAATAAGAGTTGTTTCTTGTAGATAATGCCTCAAAAATCACGATGAGCGCATCGGCAAAGTCTGAAATGCACTCATAACTTCACAATCTGCGTAAGAAATTTGCGTTTTTTTAAGCTTCCCGCTTCAAAAACGATACTACGGCATAGGTGAACATTTTGTTAGAGGATTCGCTCCATCGTCGGCGATATTCATCATGGCCGACGCTTGCACGCAGTTCCGCGCGTAATTCAAGGAGAGTTCAAGGTCAATCAATTCGGGCGTGGAAAATATGAACGTTAACACACCGATTGTTATCTGGTCCAATCCAGTTCAGGTGTTATCTCGTCCCATCAAACGTGTTTTGGCGGATTGGCGTCGGCTATGATGATTATTGCCGACGATGGAACGACTCCTCTTACAAAATGTTCATCTGTGCCGTAGTATCGTTTTTGAAGCGGGAAGCTTAAAAAAACGCAAATTTCTTACGCAGATTGTGAAGTTGTGAGTGCATTTCAGACTTTGCCGATGCGCTCATCGTGATTTTTGAGGCATTATCTATAAGAAACAACTCTTAGTTTTGCTCTAGCAAAAGTTTGCAACAGGCCCATTGATCTGCCATTCAAACCCATGGAAAAGGATTGATAAACAGTGTGTTTACAACGAACATCTTCATAATCGATTATTTATCATAGCTACAAATTGGGAAATATTGACAATTGATCATTCACGCCTCCCCATTGGCAAAAACTGTTGTAAATGATAAACAATGATCTATCACTTTAAAATCTCCAACACTGTCTGATTTTGCTGTGTATTCAATGGTTTTCTATTAGCTAAAACATCAATCTTCCCTCTTTAAGTCTTTCTTTTATTTTTTGACTTTCACTATCTTGTTTTATTTCTAGTTTACAGTTCTCACTCATGCATTTTGCTCTCTGTTTCAGTATGGAGAAATTTCCGTTTTAGTAGTATCGATGAAGAAAAAAGGTAGTGCACTTCTTGAATTCGCCAAATCTAGTTCTGCTGTAAGTTCTTTACTTATTGTCCGTTTTTTTTTTTTTTCAGTTTTTGGAAAAATTAATTAAACTCTAAAAACTTCAGAACAGATGACTTGTAAATAACCAACCATTAAGACAATTGATCAGAATGCAAAGAAAATCAGCATTAAAATCAACACCAATTGTATCAATGAGGTAATTTGATTGTTGCAGCAGGATTTTCATTTTCTTATGGGCAAATTTTTTATGACAAGAAGGAATGGGCATTTTTGTCCACACCTTTTCAAAAAAAAAAAAAAAAAAAAAAAATAGTAGAGACCTCCTACTAATTTTCAAAATTCACTTGCTGTAAATGCACCCTTTCATCTTATCCAGCACTTGCTTCGATATCGTCAACATAATTTATTTATCAACCTCCTATTTTTATTCATTTTGGCCCCATTATTAATTTCCCCTCAACTTGTGCTGTGATCAAATCAAAACCTGCCTAATTTTTACTCAGTGTTTAGTTCTCCCCTTGCAGCCTGTATTTCATACAAGAATTGAAGATATATATTTTTTTTTTAAATTCTTTCATTTTTGATGAGAAGAAAAACTTGATATATCCCAGGATTGTACATTCATGCACTTTATTTTTATTTTAAATAATGAACTATGTGTAAAGACCCCAAACTATTCCTATTACATCTGTAACTTTGGATTTTAGAGGCTTAATATGAAGGTTTAAAACCTTTCAAGGTTTGAAATCAACATATTTTTATTTGAGATGACCTAATTTGTCAACCCTCAAATCTTCACCAGTTTGGCATTTCTGTTCCTATTTCAGATCAAAGCAGAGCAATTTGAGAAAGGGTTACCAACAAATCCTTTGAAGGTCTCTTGGCTCGAAGGGAATCCGAATCCTCAACCAAGAGTGTCGACGAATTTTAACCCTAGTGAGAATATTAGTTTTGAGAAATCATGTGGTGACTCTTCAAGTGGTCTTTTCTCTACATCATCAAATTCAAATGTCAGTTTTGACAACCTACCTTCAAATTCATCCAATCTCTTTCCATCCATGTCTGGCATCTCAAGCCAAAACAGTAAAAAAAGCAGCTCAACAGAGTCCATATCTAAATCATCTAGTTTATTTCCATCCACGTGCAATGGTAATAGTAATCGGACTTTCCCTCTTTTCCCTTCACAGCCAAACAGGACTTTTACTGATAAGGTATGTATTTACATTCTTCCTCTACTTTTATAATTAAAGAAATATCCTTCATGTAAATTTTTCAAAGAATAAATTTAAATGAATCTATTCGTGTCTCTCTAGTGGGCTGATCATTGAAATTGATAAACAAAGCTAAAGACATGGAGGACGAAGAGAAAATGAAGTAATCCTAATGGTTAAGGCAATTGGTTGCAATGGACAAAGGAGGTAAGCAATAGGCTAACTATGGGCAACTGACAGGAGACCCCACAGTTAGTCCATCGTTTCCCGCCTTAGTCTGGAAGAACCACTCATCTCAATTGATAGAACTGAACCATTCTCCCTTTGTCTTCTTTGTCTATTGCGTTGTCTATTAATTTCAATAACCAGTCCGCAGGAGCTTTAAGGCAGTTGTACATCAGACTCAAACTCTTAAGCTCAGAGTCTGAAAATTCATATTTTGAGCATTTTAAATCAATCTCTCATCAAAAGTAAAATTACATTTTTGAATCGTTTTGCTATATTTGACATTTACGTTGCGATTTGAAAATAAAACAGTAAATATTCCTTCCTGTCCTATTTTATATCTATGTTCTCAGGCTGCCATAGTGTACATTTATCTATATCTTGCACTGGGGTTTTTGTGCTCTTTAATGATTTGCTCATTTAATGTATCAGCTTCTGCTTGTTATTTTTTACATCTTGTGACTGCCATGACCAGGGGCGGGTCACATTGTTTTTTAGCTTTTATTTTTTTTAATTTTTTATTTTTTGACGGTTGATGACTGGGAGACTGGTTGAAACGTCCCCTGTTTTGTAAATTGTCGTGTTTTCTGGCCTTGTCCCCGCCTTTTCCTGTCCTATTTCATATAGATATTCCTTATTGCATTGCAAAATCTGCGCATCAATACTTGTGAAAAAAGGTATGTAGGCAAATTCATTTAACAATCTTTCAATATTTGAGAGGTTGTTCCAAAAATGCCAATTTTGGCTCTCCTTTGGATTTAATCCAAACTCTGCACAGATGTTGTGGTAGGTGTCCCTCACGCCTGGGCAAAATTTTAGCCCCCTTTGAAAATCAGGGGGAGTGCGCAGAGAAGAAAAGTTGCCAATGTTGCAAAACTGTGTTTTTTGTCCATTTATCGTATCTACTAACTAAGACAAATTGTAATTTTGGTGTTAGAAAATGTAGAACGTTGTTAATAAAGGGAATTTATCATACTTTTTCTCGCCAAAATCAATTTTAAACTTGACTATAGTTTTCCCAAGTTGTCAAATTATACAAAAAGTGCATTTTTAGCAGTTTTTGCCCAATTTCTCAACTTTGGTGAAGTAAATTTAAATCAAAGAAAGAAAGTCACCTCTAAAGAAACATATGTATCTGGTCATTTAGGCATTCAGAAATTGTTTGCCCTGGCGTCAGTTTTAAATTTAGGGCAAAAATGTATTTTTAGTTTCTCAAAGTGGCTATGCAGTAGTCTTTTTACCTTTCTAAAATCCTCTCAGTTTTCTTCAACTTTTTCAATTAGATTTTTTTTCTTTTTTTTCTTGTCTAATCGCTTTATTTTTTTCAGGAGGAGAGAAAAAATACTTCTGATTCTATAGTTTTAGACTCTGACTATGAAACCAAAGTCCTTAGACAGTTACATGAAGCTGCAAAACGGAAAAAGCAATCCAAGAGGGTGGAGGAAGACAATCATTAGAAGCCTGAATCTTAAAGTTCCTGTGCCCATTCTGGTAACTAGTTTTTTCCCAGTTTTCTGCAAAGAGGTCCTCTTAATGTTTACCTCTGAACAGATGTATGAGTTGGAATTGTTATTTGCACAACATTGTTGCAACTAAAAATAAAAATACCTCTCAATACAAAGAATCCTTTTCTCTCGAACTTGAAACTTTGAGAGAAAAGACAATGTATCTCCTGAAACAATTTCACATGTTCGGAGTCCTACAAAAATTTATGTAATTTAATTTTTGAAGGCATTTCAATACCTTGGACCTTGCTGTCATCCAAGTCCCCCTGTTCTGCAGATATTCACTCTCCCAATTTGAAATTTCAACTTTTGTTCTAAGTCTGCCCAGAAAATTGTTTTTGCGTTCATCTATTGTAACAAGGTAAGCAGTTAAAAAATTAAAATGAAAAACATACACTAAATTCTATTCAGGGCTAAGTGAATTCTGTACCATCCCAAAGGAGAGCATGTCCTGATACTACTCTAAATGTAAAAACTAAGATTTTTTATTTTACAAACGTGATGAGGTCTAATTCCATTCCTTTTATTACTATTTTTTGGTGTATAAAAGCTGTTTTACATTAAAGCAGCTAGCACTTGTCAAGTAGTTTATTGATGCTTTGTTCTGAAGTTCATAATAATAATTCATCCATAATAATATCCATGTTTCATTCACAGAGAGCGAAAGTGGAAACATGTACTTTAAATCTTTATCGCACTACCGTAAAAGACTCAGTTGCAAGTAGCTGTACCCCTCTCATCTGCTCGGTTGTGTAACAGCCATGGTATCTGAATTAGCAGAGGGATATGATTGGTTTATCTTAAACAGAATCCACATATTTTGATTTTTTAATGCTCTACATCTCCAACAAACAAAAAATGTATTAAGAGATTTAATCAGTGTTAGGAGCAATTGGAAAGCAAACTGATTTGTGAAGCAACATTGATTTATGTAATCATCTTAAATTTTCACAACTTTTGAACACTATCTTTAAAATTATCTCTACCTATCTGTAATAATCACAATTCAATCGTATCAGTAGACCAAGCACAAATGGAATGATGACAATTTTTATAATATGTAATAACAAATGTGATGAAATACGGCAAAATGTGTCTAAAGGAGAAAATTCAAATCTTTTAGTACATACTACAAAAACCGACTTGGGGTCAAATGCACAGATTTCTAGCTTTTAGTGCTAAACGCTTTCTACTTCTGTCAAGAGCATCAGGCCAAAATTCCAAGCCATTATTTGCATCAATAAGGATGTTATATTGTTGAAATGAAACAATATCCATAAGGTGGCAACAGACTTGGCAAAACATTATCGCATTTCTCTTGTATCCTGAAAAGTTCACAAAGGAAAAAAATTTGTGTGAGAGTGTTTTGAGCCAAATAATATACGAGTAACCCCTCTGATCTGTCATTTGGTTATTTATATTTAAGAGAGAAGCAATGTCTTATTCCAGTGAGATCTAGAGATCTATTTGGCCGATTCTCATGAATTTCTTTCTTGAAGGTAGGGATGCGTTTGAGGATCCGTCAAATTGGATCAGATTCGAGCTTTCGACATTCCCCGATCTTTAAAAAAATATGAAAGGTGCCCCCGTGTGAAGGCTGCAGTTAGGTTTCTTCTTGTTACCTTGCGTGGCCATTTGCACTCCATAACCACCACCGCTCTTGCGCCTTATCCGATGTTACTCCCATCGAAAACTCATATAAGTAGCTCAAGTCGCCCCTATATTTTTGAGGTCTTATGAAAGCTACTTGTAACTGTGAGTGTTCCAGAGTTAAACATAAACAACTTGTCTTTGTTGTTTAAGGTTATGGTCAACCCGCGCGTACAATATATACCGTACCTTGCTCAGTTTTCAATGTACGGTAGTGAAGTTTTGTACACATACTAATGAGAATATGCTGAGTTAGAAAAAACATTCCCCGGAAAAATGGCCTGAGCCGACTCAGGCCGTTTTTCCCCCTAACTCCTCAATTTCCACGATTTAAAAAAAACTTTTTTACGAACCGAATGATGAAATCTACTCGCACTTGCATGAAATAAATTTACGTTGCTATGTAAACTGCTGCGGAGATAACGCGGGAATGTTGTACGCTCTTGCTGATTTTTGCCCATTGAGAGTTAAGCATGTTTGAGAAATGACTGTTGTATTTATGGAGAAGAATCATCGTGCATTCATTTCCTTTAATAGACGCGTTATATGTACTTATACATGTTTGGAAAAACAACAAATAATAAAATATAAATTAAGGTATGAAGTAATAAATTACAAGCCATTATGTTGCCATTTTATTCTTTTTATTACCCTTAGGCCTTTCGGCTTACGCCATCATCAGAGGGATTTGAAACTTAACTACATTACAAAACTAGATCAACAAATACCAACTACACAACAAACAAACAAGTAAAATCAAGCAACTACATGATTACATTTTCAAATTTAAGCAAGCTGAATAATAAATAATAAATACGAAATAATGATTAGTCATTACAGCATACAGAAATCTCAAATTGTTTTTGTTATTACCATCAAATAAATCAATCAACGCCCCCACACATTTACACATTTATATGTAGACATTTACTTTCTTAGGCTCTCTAAAAGTAGACTTCTTAATTGTAGACATTTTGACTGTAGACCAAAAAATGTAGACATTTTTTGAGTAGAGCTTTTTTTCGTGGTCAACTGTCCGTGATTCCCACTGACTTTATGTCAATAGGTATTACGTCCCTAGTCATTAAATCCATGGAACTTAAAGTCCAATATTTGAATGTCCAGCTTTCCAATGATGATTTGGTTATGCATCTTCTTAAATAAACCGATTTTCATCCTCCTTTGGATTGCGTCTATTCGCAGGGTCCTCGTCATCGGCCCTTCCGCAATGCAGCCTCATGAGCGGCTCTCCTTTGAGTCCTTCATGTATCTCGTGCCACGGAATGAGGGTGGTCTTGCAGTCCAGTGCGCGGCTTACCTAGCGCAGCTGCGCGGCCTACCTAGCGCAGCTGCGCGGCCTACCTAGCGCAGCTGCGCGTCCTCCGCGTCTCGCAACAGTCGCCATGTCTCCTCTGGTGCGCTCCCATCGAAGCCGTAACACTGACTCAACAGCTTGGACACAGAGGACAAGGGCATCCAGAACCGTGTCGCGTCCCCAACATCGTCAACCGCGAGGTACAGTTCGTCCCCTTCCAGTACAGAGACCTCCTGAGATCCGCCCCAGCGGGGTGGAAAGTCTCCTCTTTCCTCACTGGCGGAGTAGCAGGAGTCCTGACGATGTCCGGAGCGTTTTGTTTGCCAAACGACAAGTATTCCTCCGCATTTGGGTATATTAACCTCAATGCGGAGGATTTCCTTCCTGCCTTTATGTTTGCCCGAGGGGCTGCAACTGGGGGCATTTCCACCGGTGAGGGCAAGTTATCCTCCAGCTCCAAGTTTAAATTCGGGTACAGTGACACTATCATTCACCCTGCTGTTTTCGCCTGGTGTTTTTCCTTCGTCCTGTCCTTTCTCCATTGCGTCCCAACAAGACGGCGGTAACAGGGGTGCGGCCGGGGATGGGGGTTCACCCCGTTGCTGACGCGTGTTATGTTCCTCTGTTAGCTTCGAAAGCTCTAACTAGGTTACGTCGAATAAGCTTGCGACCGATGCTGCAGGCGAAAGAGTTGAATCCAGCTTCGAAAGGATTTGTTGGCAGGTCGTTTGTTCGCTGGTCTTGATGATTTGCTAACTGGTCGTTTGTTTGCTGGTCGTTTGTTCGCTGGTCTTGAGGATTTGCTAACTGGTCGTTTGTTTCCTGGTCGTTTGTTCGCTGGTTATTTGTTCGCTGGTCTTGAGGATTTGCTAACTGGTCGTTTGTTCGCTGGTCGTTCGTTCACTGGTCTTGTTCGGTTGATGCCGTCTGATGTCGCCGATGTGTGGATCTCGACCGTGACCCGCGGTAGCCGTGACCCGACCTTGACTGATCCCGAGTTCGATGATCGCCTCCTGATGATCTCCAATGTCTACGATATATTGCCCTATTTCGATTGTTGGGTTGCACTGCTCCAAATACGCGTCTTATCTCCTCTGAAGACATGCATTTTGAAAAACTTGAACCGCGACGCGCTTGCGTTAATCTCAACAACTTGACAGCCAAGTAGGTACGTATAGAACGTAAATAATTGCTCAGGAAGGAGAACAAGAAATTTAACCAGGATGGTGCATATGTTTGTGGGTGCAATAATATTCTAACTAAAAACGGAGATCGATTTACCTCCTCAGCGTTTCGGTGGGACACTTGCCTCTCAAATGAACTGGAACTTAACTTCTCTAACTTTTTCACACGTAACTTAACAAGAGAATTTAACTAAGATTATCTATGTTTTTTACTTAAATTTCAGAGAAACACAAAAAGAAGGAATTTATTATATTATATTATATTATATTATATTTATTATTTATTATATTTTGCAAACGCTGCGGTCAGGTACGGGAGATCCCTGTTGAGCTCTGCCCACATTAACAATATAGGATTTAATACTACGATCCAATTGCACGGAAATTGAAAATTCGAAAATACGCGAACTTGAGCAATACTATCGTGACCTGAAATCCTCTGGCCAAGAGTGAGCTCCCCTTGCTTTGAGTCCAGATCTCACAGAATATCTCGCGCCTGATCTGCCACATCCCTCGGACTTCTCTGGTGAAGTACTGACATACCTGGATTGTGGATTTATACATTATAATTATTATATCAGATTTATTTTTTAGGTTGATTAAGAATCAATGTGAATTGAATTAAGAATTTTCTCAACTAAGGCTAAAATCAAACTAAAAAACTCAAATTCGCTTACGTCTAATTGCCAGACTAGTTTCGGGAGCTTCAATCGTCTCCCATCTTCAGTGGTTGTTGACTCAATAGATGTTTTTTTTTTTTTTTTTTTTTTTTTAAAGAAATTTTATTTAAATATATCGTAACTACTACAAGTGTTTCTTGTATTTATCTACGTGGCTTAAAACTAAAACTTAACAAACTGCATTAATTTTATATGTTAACGTTAGATAATACTATGATTAGAGATGTTTTCTTCATAAATAATAGACTCTTCGTATGTTTGACGTCTTTGTTGGGAATCGCAAAGCGAGATACGCTTTTTTGTTCCGGCATTATCTAATTTTTCGGGGTTTCCCGATAGGGAGCTGTTGAAAAACACACTATCTGTTTTTTTTGGGGCTCGTTGTACTCTGGAAATGTTGACCAATCTACGTCGTCTTCTCCCATCATTTTGCGAATTATGGCACTTTCTGAACATGACATTTTGACGAACAAATGGAATGATGTAGTTTGCATGTGGTATTAGTAGCACTGGTGAAAATTTTGAAGGCTTTACTCCTTGCTTGGCGCTTTCAAGTAAAAACTGTTGCGGCAGCGAATAATCTGAGTAGCTGAGAACGCTGTTTAAAGTAACGTGTGGAGGGAAGTATGTGAGAGGTTATTAATCTATTTTCCCCCGTACTCTAAATAACATTGATCCATTGGTTCCTTGCTCTTTGCTCCTTTATTGAGAAGAAAAAAAATTGTTTCTCCATAAATTACTACTTACTATTTAATCAAAAAGAACTATATACTAACAGCTAAATTACTAAACTACTATTACGGATGACATAATAATCTAAGAACTTAACTAAGTTGTCTTTAATTTCACACATAATTTTACGCTTTATGAGTGCTTCGCATTAATGGGTACAACGCGCACCTATGAGTGGCACTATTTTTCCTCTGAAATGTGCTATAAAACGGTTTTTTTTTTTAAAAATTCATACAGGGTTTGCTACACGTATGATAGTATGTTCGGTTATGTTAGGTTGTATCAATGAGAGCTCGGGTTTTCGCCGTCCGCCACCAGTTCATGCGTTCCTCCATTACGATTTGATTGAAGGGAAAAATCTCAATCTTCGCCGTTTCGTAGCCTATCTCCCCGGCTGTTAGCAACTTTAATTGGGCACCGCCCTCTTGATGTGAAATATATTGACAGATTACTCCATCCTTTTCGGTTGATTGATTTTGTTGCAATACACTTGCTAGAAACCCACTTTCCAAGTTCTCGTCTGATAATTTTTGTGATGTAACACCTGCTGTTGACATATTCACAGAGGTGGACGGCGTGCACGTACCTCCCGTGGGTTGCAACGTAGCACACGGCTGATCTAAGTTTAGCCAGAGATCGCAGAATACGGACTTCATCGGATCTTCTAGCTCCGTATTGATATATGTCGTGTAAAAGGCATCTTTTATTATTACGGTCCTCAAATCCGTCCAATCACAGTCTATGAGGTTCTTTCCATCGCGCTTCAATTTCCTCATCATCAGTTGCCATCCTCTCCATATTTTCGTCATGTTCTTCTGGTCCGGATCCATCAAGGCTCCATAGAATTCTGGGTCCGCTGCAATCATAAGTGTCAGGCGCTCTATCACTCTTGGAAGAGGTCCTAGCCCGGTGCGAACGATATCAGGTCTATGAGCATTTTCGAAATCGGATGCTCTCCCACTTTTTGTATTCTCTGTTCCCTGATTTTTTTCTCCGAAACTGCTTTTTTTTTCGGTGTTCAAAGCTACTTCGCTTCGTCGTCCATCAGAGCTTGAGTCGCGACGAATACGACGGGCGACGCCGCTCGGTCCGGAGATTTTACATTTTCTTCCGCGTCCGTGCGCATATCTAATATG